AACTAAACCTTGAGGATTTTTTTGTATGATCAAGTGATGAGGTCTTCCGAGTTCATCCACTTGGCTACAGTTCTTGTTCAGACTCATTATCCTAGGTCTCAATACATTGCTTTCTCCCTAGGGCATATACATATACTCAAAGATGCACACCAGCGATACCACTGACATACCAAAGCCAGTAATAACTTCCTGTTGTAGCTAAACACAAGGTTACAACTCAAAGGAGACTTTCTTACCACTCCCTTCTGCAATAGACTGTAGCCACGATAATAACAGTGTAAATGAAGGAACAGATTCTTACTAGAGTAACTATTATACATTCACAGTGCATCACACTGCAGATGCCGATGCCTTTCACATTCAGTTTCTTTGGACAGTGGGGGCTGAACGTTGTGACCTATCTTCAGTCATCCACAGTCTGTGTTAACTCAAGGTCTGGAAAAAGTAGACACTGGGGTCAGATGTGGTGTTTATATCGGACCTCAACACCCACAAAAACTTGACTACTGAGAAAGCAAGTGATTATTCTCAACGTCTTCTGTAAATTAATTCTTAACTCCTTGTAAATTATTTTGTTGGTTGTATGCAACCCAAAAGCTTTTTGGGATAGTGGAAGGTAGGAAGTTTAGCAGCATTCAAAATGAACTGAAATCCTGCCCTTCCAAATACAAACTCATAGAAGCCACATTTTCCTGGAGAAGCTGGCAGCTCATGGCTTGGACAGGCATACCCTTTGCTGGGTGAAAAACTGGCTGGATGGCCAGGCCCAGAGAGTGGTGGTGAATGGAGCTAAATCCAGTTGGCGGTCGGTCACCAGTGGTGTTCCCCAGGGCTCAGTTTTGGGGCCAGTACTGTTTAACATCGGCATTGATGATCTGGACGAAGGGACTGAGTGTACCGTCAGAAAGTCTGCAGATGACACCAAGCTGGGTGGGAGTGTTGATCTGCTTGAGGGTAGGAAGGCTCTACAGAGGGATCTGGACAGGCTGGATCGATGGGCCAAGGCCAGCTGTATGATATTCAACAAGGCCAAGTGCCGGGTCCTGCACTTCGGTCACAACAACCCCATGCAATGCTACAGGCTTGGGGACGAGTGGCTGGAAAGCTGCCTGGTGGAAAAACGCCTGGAGGTGTTGTTTGACAGCTGGCTGAACATGAGCCAGCAGCGTGCCCAGGTGGCCAAGAAGGCCAACAGCATCCTGGCCTGTATCAGAAATAGCGTGGCCAGCAGGACTAGAGAAGTGATCATCCCTTTGTACTCTGCGCTGGTGAGGCCGCTTGCGAAGGGCCTGAAGAACAAGTCTTATGAGGAGCGGCTGAGGGAACTGGGATTGTTTAGCCTGGAGAAGAGGAGGCTGAGGGGAGACCTTATTGCTCTCTACAACTATGTGAAAGGAGGTTGTAGCCAGGTGGAGGTTGGTTTCTTCTCCCCAGTAAGCAGCGACAGGACAAGAGGAAACGGCCTCAAGTTGTGCCAGGGAAGGTTCAGGTTGGATATTAGGAAGAACTTCTTCGCTGTAAGAGTCATTAAGCATTGGAACAGGCTCCCCACTGAGGTGATGGACTCACCATCCCTGGAGGTGTTCAAAAAACGTTTAGATGTGGTGCTTCGAGACATGGTTTAGTGGGCATGATGGCGTTGGGTAGACTGTTGGACTTGATGATCTTTGAGGTCTCTTCCAACCATAAGGATTCTATGATTCTATGATTCCATAGTATTTAAACACTTCACTTGAGCACAGTGGAAACAAACCTTACCGGTCAGTGAAAGAGGTGCAGTGGCTTTTCAGCAGACAACATAGTACATCAGTACACCATTGATTTTGACACCCTCATGAGACAGTCTGGCTCTTTCAAAGAAAGGAGAAGAAATACTCCAAAAAATCTGGTCCTCTTATTATTAAAAAGTCTAGTTTACTTAAGAGCTCAGTCAATAAAGGATCTCATTTGAATATGACTGAGAAATACAGTTAAGCTGAAGTCATCAACTTACACAAAAATCACTTTTGTCAAAGAAGAAAAAAAACTGTCAGCGTCAGTACTACTGACAGAACTACCATCAGCTTTGCTCTCAACGTTGTCCAGCACTCACTAAAAGTATAAGCTGTAGCAGAACTGTCATGACTAGATACCAAGTGTCAAGACATCGACAAGGGAGTAATGGTGTTTTTCTGCATGCTACAAACTCTTCTTTGCAAAGGAATCACGAAGGGAGACATTGAAAACTCTCCCACTCTTCTCAAACCAGTCGATTAACATGCATGAATCTCCTATCATGTGTTGTGCCTTCAGCACAGAAGAAAAAAACCACTTCTGTATTTACGAACTGAGGTTTAGCAGCAGAAAAGAGCTAATAAGAATAAATGTCTTGCCTTCTCCTTTCATATCTCAAAGGAAATTCATTACTCCACTACAGCCAATGGTCTCCTAAGGTAACATACAGTTGATATCCCACTGCAACATATGCAGGAACTTTATTTTTATTTATTTATTTTAAAATGAATGCACGTACCACAGTTCCCACAGCAGTTCTGTTGACATGGCAAAATGGTTCACAAGGTGCAACTGTCAGATTGCCACAATCCAAACACAATCCAGCTGCTCACAAGCTAATGATAGCTCTGTGAAGGTGGTTCAGGGAAATAGCTTTTTCATTTTGAAGCTCATCCAATGCCAACAACTGTCTTACATTTTTTCAATGGAATTTTCTGTCCTAACTGTTTCTCACTTATTTCTGCCTCCAGAATAATAGCCATAGGCTCAAGAAAGTCACAAAGCAAGCAATTCTTGTTTATATTTCCTTATATTCAGCTGCATTTCTGTAACAGGACAGCAGGTTATACCAGCCTATAATACACGGCATGACTTTCCATCTCAGCCCTCTGATACTGGTCTTGCCACACCACTATAAGACTTGCAAATGCTTGCTGATGCTGCTGAGTCACACAGTGAAGTGTGTATTATGCAGTGGCTTTACCTTTTAAAAAAAACTTTATAGACTCCTGGTAACACATCATCCCACTACACAGCAAACATAGGCCTATTATCAAAACTGAATTTTCTAATGTCCTGCTTTAATACAGGAACAGGAGACAAAGGCAGCTCTCACCATCTAGGTCCCCCCCTACTGACACCAACTGCAGAAGGGGACCAAGGATGGCTCAAGACAATTTTGTTCCTTACAAGCTCGCCAGGGAACACTGACAGCCAAAGGACTCATACACAGTTCCATCACTTTCCGGCTCCTTAAATGGGATGCACAATGATCAGCCAGCCAGCAAGTTAAGGTTTGGGACCTCTCAGTAGCACCTGTCACCATAATATTAAATTAAATATTAACATAGTAAAGGACATTGAAAGAAGGGTTAGATTAGGAAACTTCTGAAAGCAAGACCAATATAAAAAAAAAAATACTGTAGTATAATTTACACACAGAAAATGGTTAGATCAAAGTCATTACCTCAGAGCCAGTATACTGCAGTGAATAAAGCTATACTAGCAAAACTACCCAGGCAGGGAGCTAGAGTACCCTTGCATAGCAAAACCATCATTCCCCTCTCCTCAACACCTCATACCATTAAGTCACACAACAAACTGTACAAGAAAGGAAGCCCCTACAGCTAAATTGACTTAAACTGACTGCTTGCAAGTTACAGCTGTCTTCCAACTCTTCCTCCCAAAAATGTGCAAAGCTCCCAAAGAAAAAACAGCCTCCCACATTAGGGAGATATAGCTATAATTACATTAGAAGAGAACTATCAATCTAGGAATTTCAATACACTCTACAAAGAAAACACTTGTAGTGCGAATGCAATGATTCACTGTGTAGCTTTATAGGTAACTGTGGAGAAGTGTCATCTTCCTCCTTGAGTAAAATGAACTGCACTAGTGAAAGTCACAGTTCTGTAATTAACTATGCCAAGAAATTTTATTGGTATGGCTGCTTCGGGCTGGGAATCACATCTCCATAACCCAACTGAAAAATCTAGGCCAGCAAATGCCTGGGGTGGCCAGAAAACTCTATAAGCACCTTTTCTGTATCAGAAGCACATAAATCAATTCCAGCTCACCACAGATCATTTTTTTCAGGAAACCATTTAATTATCCTATCTTTATTTTTCCCTTTAAACAATTGATGCCAATTCAGTGCTAGCACTCCACTTTAATCTTCCTGGTAGAATAGCAGCACCATGTGATAGCTCTCATACACCTGCATCAAGACTAGCAGTGTCTTTTTTCTGAAAACAGTTTAGGGCTAATTCAGAAATAACTTTCTGTAATATGCATGCAGTTTACAAGCCCCCTAAACCACAAGCAGCAGCCAGGAAAAGCAATAATGTGTCTAAAACACATCTTGGTTCTGGTATCCTTTGCATCAAAATGAGCTGGCTCAAACTTCTTTGATTATCCTATATAAAAACAGCGTGATCGCTTTCACTTACCATTAATTACAATATGGCATTCTAGAGAACTTAAAAGCTTTCACTGACACCTTTCCTCAAAATGGATGTGTGAGCCATGTGCCAGTGAAGACACTTATCAAGTGACTGGAAGTAGCCAGGAGGACAATCACAGTTTAAATAGGCAGAGATATTCTGGGAAGTAACAATGCTTCAGTAGGGTCATGTTTGTTTCAGACCCAGAACAAATCAAGCAAAGCAGATTTGACTACAAATTGACAAATATGCACACAAGAGTCTTCTAAACAGCTTCTCTTTAACTAGAAAGACATTTTCAGACTGAAACAAGAATTTGTGTCCTGCTATAATGAAGAATGCAGGGAGGACAGGGTTTGTTATGTTGAATAAAAATGCTAATTAAGTCTGGTTTCAAAGCTTGCCCCAAGCAAATTGATTTTCTGATCTGTATTTCATTGAAATACCAGTACAATACAAGAAGCATCAAGCAACAGCGTGTGTTACCAGCACAAGCGTTCAATTCTTTTATTGGAAAGAACTATCAGTTTACTGGAAAGATTGTGTTTAATGTTTACTTTCTACCTTTTGTGGTATCTGAAATGCTGTTTAGTAAGGCACACATCATGTCCCCTTCAATGTGGTGAGGATTTAGGATGCGAGCGGACCGCTGGGTCATCTTAAATTGAGTTTCCAGTTCTAGGAAGCTTTTGTCTCCAGAAAGTATAGTGAAAGGAATTTGCTTAGGCAGATGCTCATCCAGACGACCTGCCTGTATGGAAACAAATGACAAGTGTTGAACTGAGATGATGTTTTTATCTTGTGGGGTTTGGGTAGCTTTTTCTAAGACAGGTCTTCATAGGAAAGCCTTCTACAGCAACTTACCTTCTATGGTCCGATGCCTGCTACACCACTGTGAAAAGTATTATTTCAACAGTTTGACACTGCATTTACTCTATACATATGACAACAGATAAAGGAAATGGCTACCAGAACAGTACAGATGGGAGTATGGAACAAATTCCTAAAAATCAGCATTTCAGAACCATCTCTACATAAAACAAGTCATCTGTGTAGAGCATTTCAAGAATTGTAAAAAAGTGTAATGTAACATACAAACACTGTTGCAAAATACACTTAAAGCATATAATTAGATTCTCAAGTAGTTTTATCTAACTGATAAAACACTGTATTAAGAACGTGAGTCCCCATGGAATCCCAGATTTCTGTCCTTCACCTGCACCACTTCCAACCCAGTCAAAGCCCTAGGTTCACTGAACAGAGGCACTGCTCTTTCTCAGCCCAACAGTGTCTCTGAAACTAGCACCCATCCAACACTGTCTTAAAGATGGCTCTAGGTTTGGCCTACTTGAAGAGAAAGGCAGGAGTTACATTTCTCTCTGAAATAGAAACTGTAAGAATTGTGGGTTTTTAGTCTTCATTCCTTAACCAGCCCCCTTCCCCTCCACAACCAATTCATGTCCTATTTCTATGGAAAGAGGAAAAAAAAAAGAAAAAAAAAACCAAACTGTAAATCACTTCTCACTTCTCAACAGGCTGTCTCCACTCAATTCAGTAACAGGTTTATCATTCTTCTTAGTGGACGTAGAAGTAACGTGAAGAGAATCTAAGAATCTCATCTGTAATTAGTACTTAACATCAACAGCAGATATCATCTGCCACTCTTCTCTGCGTACAGAAACAAAACAATAAAGAAAGCGTGCACTAACTTACATGAACACAGAGAGCAAAGTCTGCTGCTTCTCTTCTGGTACCGCAATGTGGATGAAGAAAGAAACATCCAATTCTCTTAAGATAACTGTAAATTTTGCACTGCACTGGAGGTTTCCAGTTGCTGTATCCTCCTAAATAGTGAAGAAGGAGAAAAAAAGGAAAAAGAAAACAACCAGAAATGAAAAAATGAACCTGAAGAAAACCACAAACCAGGAAAAAAAACCCCACCCACACAAAAAACCAGAAATGCCACCTTGAATCAGGAATGCAACAAGGCAAAAGCAAAGATAAATCTGGCTTTAAAGACAGAATTTATTTTGACCAATATGAAGTTAAAATAAACATATAACCAAAATCCCAAAAGAACCCTTGTTCTTGGGTTAGAAAGCAAAAAAGGAAAAAGTAGCTAGCCTGATTCTACACAAAGCCTCTCATTCAATTTTGTATAAATTTTTCTTCTCATCCTGAAAAAACTTAACTTTTAGATATCATGTGCATTTAGACACAAGGATGTATTTTTGCAGTTTTAAGCACAGTTATGGTTAATGTGCAGAAGCAGAGGACCTCTGGGAACGTAGTACAAGTAACAGAAATGCTTCTCTTAGGGAATCCTCTACAAATGTATCGCCTAAGATTATTTCCAACAGACTTTATAACTGTCTGACAAATCATATGTCAGAACTCTTTAAAAAGAAGATCCAAGAACTGGAGCAACAGCTGAAACTAATGCTAGACTCCTGACAAACACTTGGATGCAGTCAAGGATAAGCAAAATGAGGCTATAACTGGGGAAAAAAAATAAGTGTAGGAATTGCTTGCTACAGATGAAAAGAATACCAGGCTGAAATAGGTTGCAAGGGAAAAGGAAAGAAGCAGCAAGTCTCTCAAGGAGATAGGGAAAAACAGAGGAGCTTGCAGTTACTATGACAACATAAGAAGACAAACAAATGGAAGGACAATTTGAAGGCAGTGAATAAGAATTTCACAACATTCCCAACTGCTAAGAAATAATGGGTCTGCAATGGGGGGGAAAAAATGTTGCTTTATCTGCCAGATGACAGAGCTGCTGGATGTAAGAAAGGATTTTGAATGGAAAGTGAAAGCAGCCATTGATGGCACTTCATGTGAGGACATGTGAAACTAAGGTTCAAGTAAACAGGCTACAGAGGATTGCATATTCCAACCTTCCCGCCTCCAGTCCAACAAAGAAGCAGCAAGCTTCAGTAGATTTCTCCTGGGTGGTTTTTTTTTTTGGTTGGTTGTTTTTTTCCCTTTTCAGCCTAATGGCTATAAAAGCATATCAAAAATTATCTCAAAGATTTAGTAACAGACTACACAGAAATGATGTAGGGGTATCTGTCCATGAGAAAAATGGTATTTGCAAATCATTCGCATCTGTTGTGACAGCCTTGGTCACTGCTATTTGGGAAAGACTTGTAATCACCAACAACCCTGGCTTTTGGCTGCATAAATGTACAACATAAACATTTGACCAGGACAGCTGAAAACAATGACAGAACTGTATTTACTCTGGCAGGGCTAGACCACAAATGGGTGAAGGACAACTGAACATCTGGAAACAGAAACAGTACAGAGCCTGGACAAAACAATGGAGGAACTCAAAGCAAAGCTAAGGCTGTACTGGCAATAGGAATAACAGAAATAATGCAAAAGTATAATAGAAAAATAATTTAAAAAAAAATTAGAAACGTTGTTAGGGAAATGCAGAAAAAAGTTCAGAAGAAACAGGGATGTTGCTATATTTTCACAGGCTAAACAAACAAGAATAGCATGCATCAAATAACTCTGTATCATTACTATGAGAGAGCACCTACAACAATAAATCCAGATGTGTCTGGGAGCCTTAGTGGTCCCAGGCTCTGTAACAATATAGTTGACACTAATAAACTGCTAATGTGTTCTCTGATATGAATATGGCCCATTTTCACCATCATTAACTCTTCGTTGTGGGTTTTTCAGCTCAAGTGCTCCAAAGGCCGTTCCCACCAGGCAGCCTGCACGCACCAACTCTGTCTGGGAAGCAACAAATTGAGTGGCACTGAGATGGGCTGGGCTGTGCCAGCAGGCACCCATGTTTGCAACATCCCTGGGCACAGTGTCTTAACTAGCACAGAGGTACCTTTGGTAAGATTATTGTATTAAGAGAGGTTCCTAAAATAGATCAGTAATGCTAATGGATTGTTTCTTTTTCTCAGATAGGTTAGAGAAGACACATTTCTGACAATAAAGTTCAGACATTCCTAGGTTCAATCAATTTCTTCTTACTGAATCAAAGCAGGGCATTTTAACCTTGGAAAATAGTAACAGCATAGAAGACCCTGTCATAACAAACAAGCTTAGGTCAATTAATGCCAAACCAGTTTTGAGTAAATTAAATAGAATAACAAGGTATGACTGAAAGCTAGTGCCTGAATTCAAGTGGGGAAAGCCTGACATAACTGTGAAAAATTATTCTGTACTAAATTATTCTTTATAAAACCCAGAGAGAGTAGCTTTGGACTTTAGATGTCAAACAGGCTTGACATTTCTTTGAGTCAGATTCCTCATAGTTTCTTACTTTCATCTGTAGAAAAAGAAAAAAAAAGTTTTTCCAAGGCCAAGTGGGCTGAATAACCATAGAAATAAACACAAACCTTCAGCAGTTAAAAACCAGAACCAAACGCCAAGTCACAATAGCCTTAGAAGTTGAAGAGTGCAGAGGTGAAGTGAAATTTGACTACAAGGCAAGCTGGGCAAAACCTCACAAAAGATAGTAAGAACAAACAACAGGTTGTTCAGCCACATAGAAAAGAGAATATAAATAAGTGGAACAGACAGGCAGCAAGGATGAAACAGAAATCCAGGATGATTAAGTACAATCTAAACTCTCAAAATCAGTATTTTCTGTGGCTTTGTGCACGTGCGCAAGAATACTGTTACAGTAGAGAGGCCAAAGGCTAGGTAATGACAATACAGGTAATGATACAGAAGTAATGCTTAAGCAGAACACAAAACTCAGGAGTGTAACCCTCTTTAACAGAGACGACCAGAGGATTTGTCCCCAGAACTCCTAACAACCAGACATCAGACTACAGGTCCAGGAACACAGCTGACTGAAGAATTCACACTTTACATTAACAGACATACTTGCTCTGTCTTCATCAGCTAACTTGAATACCTGTTTCTAAGAAGAGAAAAAAAGTGATTCAGGCATCAACAGGCCTTTCTGTCCAACGTCAGCACCATGAAAACTCAGCTTTCAGGGTGTTCTTGATTATCTTTTAAAGGAAGAGACAATCAAGAACATTAAGTAAAGAAGTGCAGTGCAATGGTGTTTACCAAGTGTAAAACATGCCTGACAATTCCTACAAGTCTGTTAAGACAATGCCTGTGTTTTAGGCAATAAATTATTTTATAACTACCCCATATCTAGACTTTACTGAAGTATTCAATGTACCACAGGCAAAATAATTATAAAGACAGATACAGAGAAAACCAGTAGGAAAAGCATGAGGTGGACAAGAAGTTGGTTCAAGAACAGTCAGGTAAGGAAAAGTATTAAATTAAAGGGATGCTATTGGTAGACTTCACAAAAAGGTTTATTACAAACCCCTAACAAAGTGAGCTCCATCGATCACCTTGTACCACTACTGGTATCTTTCAGATGGGAGATAAACCTATTGATGTACAGGATGACTGGGGACATCCTTAAGGAGCAAGCCAGAGACAGAATAAAATTCAAGTATAAGAATGTAAAATCATGCCTTTTGGAACTAAAAAGAAAAAGAACATTGTGACAAGGACTTGGGAGTTAGAAAGAAAATAATCTCCAAGTATTATGGCTGTCCTGATAATTATGAAAACCTAGTATGATACAACCTAAATAAGTTAAGCAGGGAAGCCAGAAATACTTCTAAACTGTTCAGCAATTCTGGAACAATATTCTACAAGGAGAACTAAGAGCAGAGGAGGTTGAGACAGAATTAGAAAAGTTAAAGAACATTTCTATTACATAGTGCCTGTGACACTGGCTTAAGAAGCCCTACTGGCTGCTGGTTCCTGTTCTGCATTCTCTCAGATTCAAAGAATCTCTGGCTCAAGTATTTGTGTAGACTTACTAATCTTATCTTCCTATTCCCTTCAACCATTTTTTACCTTGAAAGCCCCAGATAAATGTCCCTTGGTTCAGGTTAGCTGGCAGCTGCGTGAATAAGCTTCCCCAGTTGTCCAGATCCACCAATACAATGTGAGTCATGGTACTCAGGTAGTCAAGATCAGGAAGTTCACCATCTTCAATGAGACAAAAAGGACACATTTAAAGTTCACCTGACTTTCTGGTCAACCAACATACATCAATTTCAGATATGCTTTTGAAAATTCATGTATTCGAACTGTTCTATAAGCAAAAAGTTACAGAACATGATTCTATTTGATGATTGCATTGTTTTTAAATCAACTGAAATAGCATTTAGTAATGCACAAATCAGACAAAAGAAAGTAGACTCTAGCAATACGATGGTGTAGAGCTGCATAGTTTTGTGGTAGGCACAGAAAGCTGTTGTCCTGCACTGAGACATTCTAATAGTCCATTTAACATTCAACTGTGCATGTACTATGGTAAGTCTCTGTGACATTTAATTGCTTACATGCATAAAAGCATGTAAAATGTTTAGAAACATACTTTTGTGGTGTATCTAACAAATGTCAACCTTTTAATCAAAAGCATTATGATACCACGAGTAATTAAAAACACTTCCAATTTTTGTATGCAAGGTACACCTTCAGCATTCTTGACACCATTCTTAGAAGTGACATGAACTTCAAAAAAATATTTGCATGCTCAAGGCAAAAAGGTCTAATATATACTGAGAATATAAATTCTCAGCTGAAATTATTTTTTGGCAAGCTAAGGAAACTAAGATAGTGTTATAATAGGACTGCCCACACAGCACTACCAGGCTCATAAACATTTATACATACAAAGAAGGCAAGTTTCTCTTGAATATGTGTGTATTATAGACCACTTCTACGTTTCTAGGAGTTAGGTATCTATCTGAGGTCCTTGATTGTCCTCTTCCTTTTAATACCCAACTAAGCTCCCAGCTAATTTGAAAATTAAATGTTTCAGTCCCATTGTTCTCAGAGATGCCTACTTTTTTGTTTTTTAAAGACTTCATGCATATGGCATATAGCAATAAATTGTTGAGTCCAAGTTCTGGAAACTCAAATACCGAGAATTCAAAATGCAGCTTTGAGAAATAACAAATACTAAATTCTGAGCTGATTTATAGACTGGATGTAGGCAAATGATATAGTACATACTTGTAGTGACACTGAAACAGAGTGTGTTAAAGACAACAATATTTTTCTAATGTTAAAAAAAAAAAATAAAAAAATTCGACAAACCTGCAGTGGGTTCTTCAGTGTGTGCTGAGTTCTCTTTTTTTTCTTTCTTTCCCTGTACTGGTCCCTGCAGAGGAGACAACTGTGGTCTTTCCTGAGTCTTGGATGGAGATGCTTCAATTTTTAGCCTGTGAGGTTTTCTGTCCACACAAGCCCCGCTTGCTGTGAACGTGAATACTCTGTCTTCCAAATTCCGATCCTGATGCAAGACTTGATAGATCAGGTTTCTGCAAGAAGCAGTGTTTCATGTGATAGTGCTGATGTGCACTCTGAAGATTGTTGAAGTTTTTGTTGCACGCAGCACATCTAACAACATACATCTCTTCTGTTCGTGACGTGTGACTGTTGAGATGACTATTCAAATCATCAGAATTCTGGGCAGTTGCAGAACAGAGGCAGCATCGAAACCATAAGTTTCCTTTTTGCAGCATGGCTTTCTGACAAGTCACATAATCATTCCTCCTGTTTATTCTGGAGACATAAGTTGTCCAGCAACCACAGGTTAAACGCTCTCCTGTTTCTACTGGGAGGAAGTCCTCCTCTTTTTTTATTGATGCTTCCATCTGCTCAGGCACAAATGCATAGTCTGTGCTGTGAATCTCCTTATAATGGATTAAAAATTCTTCCTCTGTGTCAAAGAAGAGATTACCACAAAGGCCACAGAAGTATTTAGTCTGTATCTCCTGGTTATGATGCTCTTGGAAGTGTCGCTGTAGTGTTCCTACTTTCCGAAAGTGATTTTTGCATAAGCCACAGCAGTATCTGTGAAATGCATGGCTTTCTAAGGACATGCAATGTTGTTTAACGCTCTCTTCAGATTCAAACATCTCCTCACAAATGCGGCATTGCCATTTTCCCAGAATACAACTTTTCTCAGGGGACAGTTCCACAGGACTAGGAATGCAGTCTTTTCTTTCACCTGAAGAAATGCACACTGCATCTGAAGCAGATGGCATAGGTTCGTCTTCTAGAGCTTCTTGCTCATAATAGTAACTATGTCCACCATGGAATTCAGTCACATGTCCCATAATATCCTCTTCTCTGAGAAGATCTACAGAGCATGCTCTGCACCAGAGAAGAAAATTAGTCAGGTGTGCTCCCCCATGGAATCGACTCATATGCAGCCGGATAATGCTTGAATCTTCAGCAAGCTTTCCACACACAGCACACTTGTGACAGATCTTATTTGCTGATAAAATGTGCTTTTCTACTGACTCTTCTGTAAAGAACTTTCGAAGGCATTCACAAAACCAGGCTTTTACTTTGCAAGCACTACCTTGACTTTGGTTTGCTACATGATCTTCATTTTTATCTTTTAAATCGTTCTTCCGTTTCGAAGGAGTAGACCCCCTTTCACTGGTAGACTCACTTGAAGTCAAATGTCTTTTAAGCAGTGGTCTTGACCGATCTACAATATGGCACAAATGAGACTGATTTTTATTTTTCCCATTGATGTGACAGAACATCAAGATGGACTCTTCCATTGTAGCAAAAACTTTAACGTTATGTTGAGTGGTTTGCTTATGCTGGGTGATCTGATTCTTATCAGCAAACAGTTTATCACAGTTCTCACAGTGACCTTTTGTTTTAAATATCTCCGCAACCTGGGAGATGCTCTTCTTTGACAGTGCCACGGGCCCAGAATTATGACAACGTGTTCTAGAATGGATTAAAAAAAATAAAGAGGTTATATCATAACCTGAAACACATTTAAACTTTGAGAAGTATTTTGAAATATTACCTAGTAGTTACAGCAATTAGTGCCTGTAAATAGTGCCCTCTGTATACTTTAAGTCACCAACTAGCTAGCCAAAAAAAAAGAGCAATCCCTATGGAAAGGGGGCCAATTTTTGATAGTTTACTCAGGAAGTCAACATTCAGATGGTCCCAGATGCCTGGAAATCCACTACCACCACCAAGAACATGTCTGTCTGTCATCGATCTATGGATGTTCACATTATAAAGACAGCTGTCTCACAAACCTGAAATGAGCGGTTAATTCCATATGTGAGCGTAGTATCTGGTAGCAGGATATACACTTCACTTGGAAGGGGACCTCTTTGCACAGAGATATGAGAAGGTTCTTTGCATAGGACGGGAAAGGTAGAGGAAGCCCAGTCTTCATTTCATCTATGTTATGGAATGGCAAAAGTGCAACCACACGTTAGAAGAGTTCTTTCATAGTATTTTGGTTCTCAGATGACATAGTTACAACCATACACGTTTGTCACAGGGTTCAGAAAGCAAGATACCATGTGTCAGCTGAGTCACAGTAATTGTTCAATGGAAGCTTTAAGTAAAACTGCATTAATTTTTTAAACTTCTGTAACAATCTCCTATCTGAATCTGTCTGCATCTTGCTTTTTCATACTTGGTGACTGATTCTACTTCTCTTTTCCTCCTTCTACAAGGTCAGGTCAGATCTCTCTCTTAGGAAGGTTCTTATTGACCTTCTTCCCGTCCATCTATCACCGCCTGTCTATTCTTACCACATACAATTCTGTTTAAAGCCATAGTGTGCTTAAGAAAGAAAAAAATATGCAATTCTTTTAACAAGTTCCCACATACTCTGACCATCTCTCTCTCCTTCCCATCAGCAATGTTAATTCTCCTTAAATTTTCAGGTGCAGGACTTTTTGTTGTTCTGCATGTATACTCCATGTCTAACTCCAGGTACCAGCAGAATAAAAAATTTTCTATTGAAAGAGAATGGGAAATGGCTTATGAACTATATATTGCTGTTAATGGTCTGCATTTTAGGAGGCAAATTCTCTTTGAATTTTCTCTTTAGTAAGATGTGACTATTAGCAGGTAGTAATTTGAGGTAACGCCTTTCAACTAACTTCACTGCCAGATCTTACAGACCATGCTGATGATATTAATCATGAAGACCTAACAATGCAAAAGAAAAAATGGAGCACTTCCCTTTTTTTGTTCCGAGCTAAGCATTATCCATCTCTAAAGAAGAAAACACTATTTTGTGCTTTTAATCTTTTCAAAGCAATAGCTCACCAGTATTCTTTTTTAAAACCTATGGCCTTAAAGGCAACTACAGTCAGCACATTCAGAATTAATAACCTATTTGACAATAAGAGTACATTAGATTTACTACATATAAGAGGACTCAGAACCACGTAGCTGACTGTCACTTCCATGAAGATGACAGTACTGACTTGACCTGCAGGAAGATTCCTTCAAAGCCTGTCTTTATGTACACTTCCTGCAGCCACTCTCGGGTAGGGTAGAAGTAGAAGATACAGTCATGAAGATGAGAAATAACTATACAAGTCTTTTGGCCATGTAGGCTTATCCCGAAAGCTACGCTATCTAAAATATGGCAGCTTCTTGAATAAGAAGTCAACTCCATCTATATCTCAGCCATTTACCTAACGTTAAAGTAAATGCTTTAATGCCTATTGCTTATGTCAAAGCTAAAAAGTCAGTACAGCTATGATGGTCATTAACCCGTTTTCAAGACCACGATCGGACAGATATCTTCCGCAGAATCCAGTAAGCATGGTTCAGGATGTTACCAGCTCACAACATAACCAGTATTTTAGCCTTCAGTAACGATGTGGCCAGTGCAAGGCATCAGACCAGCAGCACTGTTCCAGCTAAGCAGGCTAAATTTGCAATTATATGGAGAAGAAACTTTCACAGGTCTTTTTCTGGCATTCCAGAAAGGACACTGACATGAAAAATAGCCTCCAGCAGACTTCTGAAAGTACAGTAAGGGGAAGGAACATCACAGCCAGTCTGACTGGAATTGAAAAAGAAATGTATGTGTTTTGCTCAACATGCTAAATGTAAACTTATTTAGGACAGTAGTCACACAGAGCCACTGGAGGATGAGAAGCTTATATGAGACCCGACAGCATGGAAGTAAATGAAAGTCTGCTTCTCATTACAGCAACTGTGATGGAGGAATAATTTCTACACAAAAATACGAATTTCAAAGCATGTCCTCTTACAGAACTGTATCATATTTAAGACCTTAAAAGAAAAATAAGAATTCATTAAAAACAAACTTTAAAACCCTCAGCTTTTTTACACAGGAGAAAAATGTAATTCACTTCATATCATAAGGATCAATTACCATAAGGAATGAAAAGCAGTACACTTAGTAGAAACATACCACTCAATTTAGAAACCTGGAGGAAATGGTTCTTTCCTGACATATGCTGCAGGCATTCATCTCTCTTGGTGAAAAGGAGGAAGCATTTTGGGCATGCAAAACACTGAATATGCTGTGGAGGGAGATCTTTTATATGTCCGTCGTTTTCATTTAGCTGGAAGAGAAAACGATCTAGTTAGGAAAAATATTAAGTCAAGAAATCAGTCTCAGTTTTCCTCACATCCTTCCATTCCTCTCTCCCTTCTGTGGTAATATTTTCACTTTTAGGTTTTCAGCAATCGCATCTATGTTTATCTACAGCCCACCTCTATGCACTTCAGCTTGTGAGACACAAGTGACTGGCCAAACTGCCACTGTCAAACTCACCTACTCCCCCTTACTACACTGGCAACTTTTCCATTCCGTTCTTGCACCACTGGGAGCAACCACCTTCCCTAGAAACTACGGGCTCCATCAGTTCTTAGCTAGTCCATTTACCCAGGCTCTCAGAAAAAGCTCCTTCTGTCACTAAAGCAGCTGTTTTTCCTCATGTCGGTTCTTCCCTAATCTTGCTAACCTCCAACTTCTCAAAATGCTGCTCCTCAGAGTAGCCTGACAGGTCCATGACTTTTATCAACGTCAACTCCTTCCCTTTGCCTTCTACATTAACTTCATGCGGCTGCCTTCTTCAGGGTAAAAATCCTTTAATTTTGCTTCTAACATTTCTGCTTACTCCTTTCTTATGTCACTCAAAGAATCTTCATTATATGCTTACACTTTCTTCCACAGCTTTGTTTAGTATGATCTCCCCATCCATCCACATCAAAATAACCCTACCTTCTTGCCTGCTGCAAGTGCCACTCCCTTTCCCCAAACTTGTCTGTAACTCCTGCTAACACCCCTGGACACACCATAGGCACACAACTTCAGAGCAGTGGAGAAAAAAGCAGGGACAAACTATGATGCAATCTTTCAAGCTTGTCAGGTATGACTATGCATCAGGAGTTACTACTAATAGCTAAAGTAGTTCAGTTTTCAGAGTATCTAAAACTTCCCCTGAATTTAACACAGCTTCTGGAGACTAGGTAGGTAAACAACAATATTTGTTATTAAAACACTAAACTTTGAAAATGCTGTCCATTATCCAGTTCAACATCAGACTGCTTAAATAAAGCCACGCACCCAGAAGATAACACCTGAGCATCTGTCATTGAACTGAGGTTTTACAGTGGTAAGTTACAAAGAGAATGAAAGGTATTTTTTTGACTTTAGATTAAAAAAAAGAAAAAAAAAGAAAAAAAAAGAAAAAAGAAAAAAGAAAAGAGTGGAGGTAGGGAGGAACAGTAACAAAAAGATCAAATCTTATTAGCTTATATTCAAATCAAAACTCAAATGTTAGATTATCCTTTTCCCTTCTGTAAGTTAACTAGTGAGTAGCAGCAAATACATCTATCGGAGACACTGGAAACAGAGAAGTAACAGTTGCACGTGAATCACCCAAGTTTCTTTTCTCATTCTGTTACCTCTTTTTCCCCATCTCCTTTCTGCTGTTTCTCTTTACCACCACTTATTTCACCCTAACTGCTTGCCTTTATCTTTCATAGTTTTGGAGATGCAAAAAAAGGGAATATCTTTCGACAGCACCAATAAAGGGACAAGAGGTTCAAGACAGAACTATAGTCCTCTCAAAAGTATGCTGGAAAGTACAACCTAATAGTCAGACCTAATGGGAGTACTGTCAGGACAAGCCAGGTTTTTGAAACACAGCAGAGTAAGAAAAATTATCGTGAAGACTAAAAGAAGAGAGGGGAGAGAGAGAGGGTTAAAAGGGAAAGGTAAAAAAAAAACCACACAAAAACTAAACCACAAAACAGTGCATAACTATACATCTTGAAAACCCTCTACTACATTCCGTCAGGCGAGTTACTTATCCTTATGATCTTGCCTTAGATAAAAGATGATCACTGTACTGCTGAGAAGTTGAAAATCTTTTGCAGCATATCACACAAGCAACAGCATTATTTGGGGGTCCATGCAATGTGACTGTTGGGTCACAAGGAGAATGATCAAACCTGGAGAGGAAGAAATAATTAACAGACTAGTCCCCTCTAAATAGTCAAAGTGTTTTTTTTAATGGGAAAAATTCTGTCTCTTGAAGCTGTTGGACAAAAACCTATCAAATCAACCTAAACTGTAGAATTCCTCACTTCCCCTACCATTAACTGTATCAGTTGAAGTATCCTGTACAGAGGTGATTCTCCCTGCAGCTTACCTGTTATAATGGCCACTCTGCAGAGGAATTGTACTGTTTTTAAGAGCAAGAGAACTAATAAAGCCTCGATTTTCTACAGAGGGATTTTCAAAATTTATTTTTACCTCCCTGCACTAGTTCTGGCTGGAATGGAGTTAATTTTCTTCATAGCAGCTTCTACGGTGCTGTTTTGGCTTTATGAACAACAGCATTGATAGCACAGGGATGCCTTAGCTATTGCTGAGCCGTGCTTGCACAGCATAAAGGCCTTCTCCGTTTGTCAGACTGCCCCATCAGCGAGTAGGTGGGGGTAGGCCAGAGGTGGGGAGGGGACACAGCCGGGACAGCTGACCCCAACTGACCAAAGGAATATCCCAGACCATATGACATCATGCTCAGCAATAAAAGCTGAGAAAAGGAGGAGGAAGCAGGGGATGTTTGGAATGATAGCATATGTTTTCCCAAGTAACCGTTATGTGTGATAAAGCCCTGCCCACCAACGGGAATTCCTTATTTTGCTTTGCTTGCATGCACAGCTTTTGCTTTACTTATTAAACTTTTTTAAACTCAGTCCAGAGCTTTCTCACTTTTATGCTTCTGATTCTCTTCCGCATCCCACAGGGGTGACTGAGGGAGTGAGCAGCTGCGTGGGGCTGAGCTGCCCACCGGAGCTAACCCACAAGACCCCTCTCAGCTTCTCTCCTTACTATCTTCCCCATGACACACTCACTAGTTAAAAGGCAGTATATGGTGGAGCTGACCCCAGACACAGCAAGTGCTGACTAGCAATGATCAGCTATGAACAGATGTCTGGCCTATAGCTCTTGCTCCTCTTTTCCTTCATTAGGGGCATTGGTTTTTTGTCTTACCATCAATTGTATACGTTAGCCTTTTACTCTTTTTCAAGTTTGGATGTGGATGTAGATATAACAGAACTGGAGAACAGAAATCTTGTTTCTCAAAAAAACCCATATATTAAAAAAATGCTCAACAAGAGGAAGAAATCAATTCTGAATAAAAAAACCCAAACAACCAACCACGAAGTTCATCACATCATCTACATAAAATCTGTAACATATTAATCTGCTCTCCAAATGGAATTTTGTCACTATAGGCAGTTTAAAGTAGACTAGATGCTGATGTCCAAAGTTTGAGCATATTCTTTCATTATTATTTCTTGCACTGAGCTCTTGCACTGTGTCCTTACCTTTGAAGGTGACCTAGGAGAAGATGTCCATTATCAAACTCTCTGTTGCAATGCATTACAGGACAAGATATGGGACTGCTGTTGACTTGCGTCTGACCTGCCCTCTTATAAATACCCCTTTTTCCACTGTTAACGGTGCCTGGTTTGAGACCTGTGTTATAAAACAAAGCATTTAACCAGAATCTGAATTAGAGAGGCTTAAGAAAAAAAAAAATAATAAAATAACACACAAGCCCTAAAGCATTTAAAAATGAAGTTACATTGATTCTTAAAAGCAAGCTAACAATGCACGGTAACTCAATCCTACTACGGTAAGTCTGCTCTTTGACTTGAAGAAAGTGTCTCTTCAATCCTCAGTAGGATTACTTTTAAAACACTTTGACACCCTTCCTCCAGGCAGTATTTTAAATTGATTGAACTTCCTGAAGTTGTACTTACTCATGTAGACATTTTCCTGAGCAACAGTTCAACAGTAATATTTTCCTTCTAGCAACTTTACTTATAGAAGTAGTTAACATTGCCTTAGTAGTTTTAAGACTTTTGTATTACATTTTCTAAGCAGGAAGCCATTAGAAGAATAGTTTTTATGGAAATGAGTGTTCAAGAACTTTCAAATGCTACACCCCAGCAAAGTTAATATCATAAAATTTGGTTATGCGTAAGCAAGTTCAATGTCAGTATTGCTCAATGCAATTATCACATGTTCTATTCTGCAATGCAGGACTTAAGAAGATCTATCACTGAAACTTAGTTTCCTGTTCTTACCTGGCATTTTTAACCACTGGTCCACACATAATCTTGCAGCTTCTGTGTCACTGTGTTCCCGAATAAATTCTAGTTCTTGCAACCCATGGGCATATTGGGAATCAACTTTCTCCTGAAGGGGAAAACATATCAGGCAAGTTGGTGATCAAATTAAAAATCTCAGACAAAAGCAGGTAGATAACTAGATAACCAGATTTGCTGCATGGTGGTTTGTGATAACTTATTTTTCAATTATTTAACCAGAATAATTGATTCTAGGTCCCTCTGCTATATATATAAAAAAAGAGAACAAGTTTTTGCCATCAGCTTACATGAAGTTGGGTTTTTTTCCTCCCTTAGGAACTGCAGTAAGACTAGCAAATTGATCAGTTAAAAGCCACTGAAGAGACAAAGTTTGTATTGTGTTTCAAACAATGCCCCAGAAGCAAAAAATCTCTACTTGCTAGTTCCAGGTTTGGCTCATCAATCTTTTTATTTACTTAGTAGTGGAAACAAACACACTCATGACTTCAAGGCCTGCATTATGCAATTCTACTGAAACAAAGTATGTCCAATACCTTAAAGGCTTTGTTTTTCTCTTCTTTTTGCTGTTTCTCTACTTCAACATGGCGTGCCAGACGATCCAAGGTTGACGCAACTCGTTCCTTCTGATAGTCAATGTGATCTTTACGCTTAACATTTCTCTACAGTTGAAAAGTCAAACTTTTATTTGGTAGTTGCTAAGTAACAGGCACTAATATGGTGAAGTGATGCCCAAGCATCAGGCTATAATTCAGTACAGATTCTCCCATCCTAAGTCCCATGTTCTACCTTGCTAGTTTTTATTCCTATTTATCAGCATCTGTAACTTCTGTTAAAAACAAACAAAACAATCCCCACCCCTCTACATATTCAAGGCAATTCAACATTAACATTAGCCTCACCAAAGCACTAGAAGGAGCATGGATCATTGTGCTGGGTGTCCTAGAATTCTCCAACAAATTAAAAATTAAGTAAATTCTTCTGATTATGTAAACAAAATTCCCAAAGATTTCAAAGCCAACATGCAACCCATCTGAAAAGTGAGAACTGGTACCATTCTTGCTCTAAGAAAACATTGCCTAGTATCTTTGGAAAGGCAGATCATTAGCTTTTTCTAACATAAGAGATAGGCCATACACTGTAGTTTGCTCCTGCTACACGATCAGCTGTAGCTCTCACCACTGTGGACTGAGCCTGTGCAGCTACAGAAGACCCACCTTCCCTCAAGAACCAGGTTTATTACACATATCCTCTACTGCAGCACTGAAAAACGCAAGTCAAGATATGGCCACTGCTGCCAAAATCAACTCTGGTACAGTCATTCTCAGTCACTGTCGCTCACAAAGGCCCCACAGAGTAGGCACAATAAGCTTGGCTGATACATAAATCGACCAGCCTGCTTCTGACTCATACGTTCTTAGGAGAGATTATGAAGAATGAGGCCCAGTTAAGGCCAGGTTGTCATCAGAATAAGGTCCTCCAACATACAAACTGCTCCTAAAGTTACTTTAGAAGGAAAAGGCCTGGGAGTAGGCCAGATACATTTGCACGCTAGAGACTGGACACAGTGACTTCTGAAGTCGCTTGTGAAGTGACATTTTTCTTTGACACACTTGCTAAAACCACTGAAAGCCAAATAAAAGTTCCAAGTCCATTTTAGGAAGGCAAAAAACGACTCTGCAAAAAATGAAGTGTTGGCATTCTTGCCTTCCACTCAACAGTCCATTAAAAAAATCAAAAGACTTTATATTTGGTTTATTTATTCATTATTTGTTAGCAATACCTCTAACAAGTTTTTTGTGAAAAGTAACTGATGGGAAAAAAATACAGGATACTAATTATTTTATTCAACTGAGAAGACGCAAAATACATTACAACATACTCACATGAACATAAGAACTGCTGTTAGGTTCTTCATCCTCACTACTGATAAGATCAATGCATTCAAGCACAGGTCTTAAAGGTCCTTCCTGAAAAAAAAGTGTTAAAAACACACACAAAAAGCATTAAATTGTCTTCCTCAGAGATAAAATGTTGCATGCATTACAGCACATTGTCAGCATTAGCAATACCCGAGGGAGAATTTCACCAAGGTTTCAAGAGGGTGCAGTAATGAAATTTCTGTATGGCAACTTTTCCAATTAACAAACTGATCCACAAAATCGGTAAAATATGGAAATAAATAAGTATTCACAAATAATTAAAATATCAACATATAGCTATCAACTAAAAATAATTAAAAAAAATAACAGTCTTGGCTTGCTTAATAACCTTATATTCTTCACCTTCCCAATCAGCGTGCGCCATTAATTCAATGGTAATAATGTAGCAGGCTGTACTGAGAGGAACAGTCTTAGATTTCACTAAGCAATAGTATACGTTTTTTCATTGTTTTGAGGGGTTGGTTTTGGTTTTGTTTGTTTGTTTTTAAAAGACACAAATTAAATTCCAGCTCTAAAAGTGTCATGGGTTGACCTTGGCTAGATGCCAGGTGCTCACCAAGCTGCTCTATCACTCCCCTCCTCAACAGGACAGGAGGGAAGAAACTAAGATGGGAAAAAACCCCTCCGGGCCAAGATAAAGGCAGTTTAATAAAGCAAAAGCAAAGGCTGCATGCAGAAGCAAAGGAAAACAAAGTATTTATTCTCTGTTTCCCATCAGCAGGTGATGTCCAGCCACTTCCTGGGAAGTAGGGCTTCAGCACACATAATGGTTGCACCAGAAGACAAAAAGTCGTAACAACAAATGCTCCCGCCCCTTTCTCTTAGCTTTTGTTGCCGAGCAGATGCTTTATGGTATGGAATATCCCTTTGGTCAGTTTGGGTCGGCTGTCTTGGCTGTGTCCCCTCCCAAGATTTTGCCCACCCCCAGCCTACTGGTGAGGGGGAAATGGAGAGACAGCCTTGGTGCTGTGCAGCCCTGCTCAGCAGCAGCCAAAACACTGGGGTGTTATCAACACCTTTCTAGCTACCAATACATATCACAGCACTATGAAAAATTAACTGCTATGGAAAAATTAACTCCATCTCAGTCAGACCAAAAAGAAACTAAACTCCTTAGGCACGTCAAACATTAAGAAAGTGGGAGGCAGTTTCGTACACACTTAAACCCCAAAGGTTACTCCTTTCTCACCAGATATTCCATAAGCAGGTTACAAGTGTCTTCTCTGTATTAGAATCACAATGAGGGGGAGGTAATTTTATTTTAAAAGAAACCACATTTCACCTATTCACGCCATGCACTCAGAAGCACAAAGACACATGTGCAAAGAGTCTGTCCAGCATTCAGTTGCAGAGATGTGCATCCAGGAATCCTGGTCAGAACTCCATGCAGTGATACGGAGGACAAGAGACCCTGGCTATCAACAAGTACTTCGGTCTTCTCTATTCTCCCTAGCTTGGCGGCCATGTCCTCCTTTTGCATATTTCTGATCTTTTGTTTCTCTCCACGATGCCCCTCCTCTGTCAGTCACTACAAGTTATTGACTGGTTTTGTTTCCTCCTTAGGATGTCTTAAGGCTCTAGCTGCTGTTCTTTGTCTTCGGCACTCATTATAATGGTTTAAGCTTTGGTTTTAATTTGTGTTAATGCTGTCCCTTGCTTTCCTGATCTGAGTGTCTCCAGAAACTTCATGTAGATTGTCTGTGACCTCAGTGATCTGCTAGTCTAGGCAGTATCAACACCAGTTGATTTACATGCCTTCATATGCCTCCTCTTTTTCATTCTGCCTGGTGTTTCCACACACGCAGGCATGTGTTTGTATATTCCCATTCATTTTCCACTCATACCAATTTTAACATTTCTACTACAAGCTTCTGGTAGATAGCAGAATTTTGGCATAAACATGAAAAAGCAAACGGAGAAGAAAAATTAAATTCAGTAACCCAAACTAAGCACATAGGTCATAAGTTTTTTAAAGAAGATGTACAAAATAACGTCTGGAGCTCCATCCACACACAGTGCAACAAGAGTCTTCAGTTTTTGAAGGCAAAAAAAGCAGCACCATGTCCACATAATGTGATGTCATGCAAAAAAAAAAACCTAACTGTATCATGCTACAACATTGTTACATATCAACTAAATAATCAGTATAACGAACATGAAACAGGATGAGTAAGTCTATATACACTAAACAAAAATATTCCTAGTGACCCTAACTCACACCCATGGTCACATCTGTACACATCTCCAGTGGGAGGCAAAGTTAACTAAAATCTCCACATGCCATAAAAAGTTTCCCATCCAAATTCTGAAAGTTATTATGAACCTCAAAGTAAATAAACCAAAACCAAAGATAGTTTTATGGTTTTGGTAGTTAGAGGGGGTAGTGTTTTGGTTTTTTAAAAAATCTGTACATACAATGCCATCTACATCATATGACAGAGTTTTTGACTAAACTGCACTATTAGCCATTTGTCTGGCAATATTGCTGGCAGATACCACACATTCCAAAGGTATTCTTTATTTGCTAGAAAGTTACATTTTCCCAGCAGCAGAAGGACTTACAATAGTCAGCAGACTGGCTTCTTGAAGAGCTGCAGTACTATATCCACCGTCTCTGTCATATTTGTCAGTGTCTTCAAGATCTTAACAATCAAACCAACTAGGGCAGGCTAGGGAGATTTATTGCCTCATGAGAAGTAGCAGAGAGAACAGCAGCATGCAATTCTCTCCACTGTCCTTACTGCATCTCATTCTTTACATTCTTCCACCTTTCAAGGCTGTAAAGCTGTTCAGCTGCGCAGGCATAAACAGTTCTCATCGTCTCACTTGGGAGGAAGAGGGGTGAGATCTTGGACAGACAACAAAAGCTTGTATGAACCAAGCTGCAGGCCTCAAATTACCCCAAAAGAGTGCTTAACTTTTTATGATTAAATAAAGAGAACATGGTTTTCTAAACAAAAATCTACAAAAAAAAAATCCATGACAGATTTGCTTTTAGAAACAGACAACCTCTATAAACTTATAATAAATTAAATCTTTATTAAATAGCAGATGTTAGCAGGTGACAGTTCAAAGACACTCAGACCACCTGACTGTCTAATCACTTCAATAATACGTTTTGAAATGTTCAACTCTGATCCTAACAGCTGCAACTTCTTCAAATGCAGACATTTTCCTTATTTTGACACTGCCTCCCACGGCATTCTCCTGGAGAAACTGGCAGCTCATGGCTTGGACAGACATAGCCTTCGCTGGGTGAAAAACTAGCTGGCTGGCTGTGCCCAGGGAGTGGTGGTGAATGGAGCTAAATCCAGCTGGCGGCCAGTCACGAGTGGTGTTCCTCAGGGCTCAGTGTTGGGGCCAGTTCTGTTTA